AATATTATGGACAAAGCCTGAAATTTCAACGTCAGGGCGCACCGAACTAATGCTTTTTAAGCGTACAAGTTCTGAAAGTGAAGTTGTTCCGATTCCAATCCGGACACTGGGGGTTGCCTTGTCAGTGAGACAACTTCCTGGGATTTCGGCATATTAATATATTATTGTGGTAGGGTGGCCAGTTCCTTTCCACGCCGCCGTTACTTCCCCAACTCGAAGTCAGTTACCGCTACCCATTACTGTTGGGTGGGTAGGAGGGGGCGAAAAAAAATCGTGTTCGAACTGAGGCTCGAACCCGGACTTTCCCCTTAGGAGACGAGCGCACTAACCGTTACAACTCTTTCGTTTCCAAAACTTTTCTTTAAAAAACTATTCTAAAAAACAAAGGAATTAAAAAAAAAAAAAACACTCGACGGTGGGAGCTGAAAAACTATTGACAATGGTAAAACGAAGAGAGAGAGAGAGAGAGAGAGAGAGAGAGAGAGAGAGAGAGAGAGAGAGAGAGAGAGAGAGAGAGAGAGAGAAGTGGGAAGGGAGAAAGGAGGTCTGCTATCAGTGGGATACACTGCAGAGGATAAGAGGCCAGCGTCGGGAGATAAACCGGAAGAAATCACAGGGAAATGATAAATAAATAAGGTCGGCCTGTGACAGGCGAGGAAGCCTGCGAGATGGACAGAGGGTACGAGAAGGTAACAGAAGGAGGAACGGAAGAATTATACAGAAATGGGGTACAGACCGTATGATGAAAAAAGGAGAACATATTTTTATCCGTTTCTACAGGTTAGGCCCCCCCCCCTCTCTCTCTCTCTGCCTTTATTATCCTATATGCGCTTGTTGGGGTACCATCCTTTGGGATGTCTGTCAGAGCGAGAATGGAACTTTCTAAATTAAAGCGCACGTTTGTTTAGATAAATGAATAGAACACAGAGGAATAGATCTAATTATTGAAAGATTATAAGCCAGATTAGTAAAGTAAAACTGAAAAAAAAAAAATACAACCCCCCCCAACTACAACTAACGACTCTACCAACGCGAAGAACAAGAAAATAACAGTCGGTCGGGTGGATGGGTGGGTGAGTGAAGACTGGGTAAGTTGTCTAGCTGAACAGATTAAAGACCGCGGCAACTGGAGCCAGGGGCTATAAAACGTCCGCTTCTTTGAAGAGGAGAAGAGCTACAATATCTTCTACAGCGTGTCATTAATTCCTAGCCCCTTGCTAATTCACTTCAAGCCACGTAGTGCCGAAACTGCGGCTTGGGGTAATTGAAGACGGGATGGTTCGCGGGGGACTTTGGCTGAAAAAGGGTGGGGGTAGGGGAGAACCTTTACCGAAATAAGATATATATGGGTAGACATACAAGGGGGGTGGGGTGGAAAAATGGCGCTCTGTTGGAAGGGAGGGAGATGTAGATGGAGTATTGAGGGGGGTGGGTGGAGGGGTGGAGGGAGAGTGATCAGACAGAGCAAGTGAGTACACCACCAGAGGAAAGAAAGCTCCAGTTCGTGCTTCTCTCTATGCGTGAGCAGACGCACGCGCATGCGCGTTCGTGTGTGTGCGTGTGTGTTGTGTGTGTGTGTGAGAGAGAGAGAGAGAGAGAGAGAGAGGGGGGGGGAGGGAGAAATACAGAAAATCTATTACTTGCGCAGGTTCCGAAGAAAACTCGCGAACAGAAAAAAAACAACACAAAAAAACCCAAGCAGAATGGAAGAAAGAAACGGCGGGGGCTGGGCTCTGAGTCCTGTGTGTTTACACTGCCAGTGAAACAATATATCTCATGATCCTGACTGTCGATAGAGAGGAAGCTACAGATTGTAGACAAGAGAGACTGGAGCACAGTGGGATGTAAGCTCCTGGTTACAGACCCCCTCCATCTCCACCCCCTCCACAACCCACTCACCATCCGCGCTCCACCACTTCTTTTCGTTCTTCTCAGGGCCACTATTTTGTGTATTTTGAGCGTGCCATGCATCCATTTGGGGAAACACCACATACACATCCGTGATGGGGGTAAGGGTTGCAAAATACATCATGTGTATACGACCGCGGTAGGGGTGGGGGTTGCAATGTAGCGGCCAGGAGATGCCCCAAATACCAGACACGACAGACTACACCAGAAGCAACCGTCAGTTTGAATATTCTCTTCTGCACGAATTAAATACAAATGCCAATTCCTTATAACAGATGACACCTTGGGCACTCTTGATTCATTTGTAAAGAACACAAAGGGAAATGGACGAAGGTTAAGGAGGGGGGG